ACATGTCAACAATGTATTGATGAAATAATTGTCTACATTTCAATATATGATTATCAGCAGTCTCACGAATCATCGTTCAATATGCATAATAATTCATAGCACTGACCTTTTTGTTAATGTCCACATTAGTTGTAGGATTTCTCATATTAATATTAAAATGATATCCTTCCTCTTCTTGTCAAAATAGAATGGGATATTGTAATGCATCATATGAACGATATTTCTGATATTTGCTGGACGTTATCATTTCTACGATGAAGAATTATATCGCGAGAATTAAATTCTTCACCAACTATGACAGTTGCCACTTCATCGATCATTGGTACATTGAATTGTCTTCGATGTCGACCAATAAGTGTTTCATCTGCCTTTATTATTTCTTTGTAATCATCAGATGGCATTTGGTCAATGGTGGTTTTAAATAATTTAATTAATTCATTATGTTGTTCAAACAAATTTTGTAATTCAGTGACAATCTCTTGTTTAGTACTCTTATTCAGTTGAAACCAGCTGTTGATTTGTTCGTCAGTATTTCCCAAAAAATATATCTGAAGATATCTGTGATCAGCATTTGACAAGGGTGGTAGTGATCCAGCATGGTGATAAAACCATACCTCTGAGGGCGTATATAATAGTACCCAAACTGAATTAGAAAAATCTAAGTTATTATGGGGACTATAGATATATTAAATGGTTAGCTTAGATTAGTGATTATTATTTTTTTAATTTACTACAAAATGAAAAATGAGGTTTTTCAGAAAGGTTTGGTTTGGTTTGTTTAATTATGGCAAAGCACACTAGGGCTATCTGTCTAAGGGGAGGGATGCTTTCATGGAGGACTTTCTAAGGGAAACTGACTTGTATGCACATTACACATGAGGAATCCGCCCATGCAGCCAGCCTGTTCGCGGATTCAACCCTCGGACCAAACTACCAGTGTTCAGCGACTTTACCGCTCGGCCGCTGGTGGGCCCATTTTCAGAAAGGAAAAAAGGTTTAAAAGATTTTGTTTTATACGAGAATGGGGGGGGATTTTCTTTCCCTTAACATGCACAGCATATGTAAATCCTGGGATTCTCGAGGTTACTGGAAACTTATTTGTCTTTTCGTTTGGTGCTGCAAAAATTGGCTCCACACCAGCTGTCCGAAATGACGCTGACGCGATACATGATTTGCCAAGAAAGTGATCGCTTCCGGCATTATCGTGAAAATTGCTTTTTGGAAGATCGCAGCATGAAATTCTCCAACTTTTCCAGATTTTGACTAAAATATTTAAATTCTCTGACTTTTCCAGGTAGGGTGGCTACCATGATAAACATAAGACTCTTCTATAAAAATGACCAGTAGTGGTCCTTCGTGTTTGGTTATATCGTTCAAAAAGTGCACAGGAGCTCTGTAATAGGAAATCACTGGCGTGACATGTGCACTACCAGCGTGATACATTTTAGTCCTTTTAGGAACAGAAAATTAACCTACTCTCATACATTCATTGCATATCCTGGAAAATAAGGCTTTGGCATTTGGGTGTGGGCTTTTCTTTCCTTAAAAGTCTCAACCTCTGACAAAGGTTTATGTCCGAGAGAAAGACAGGCCTGCATTCAGAAGTTGGAATGTTTTTTTAAAGCATATTCATCTATTAAAATAAAATTTCTTTGCTGAAATTGTGGTTAACTTCCATAAAAGAAGTGTTCCGTTTTGTTCCAGCTAAAATTATGATTTATCTCAAAAAGTGAGGAGTACCAGAACTAGCGTCCAGCACAATTTAAGTTCTGCCTTTGACTCATTTGTGACAATGATTGAGGATGGGTAATCTACAATTATTCGTCTGGCCACCATACCTTAAAACACTTCTTACTAACTGAACAACTCGCATAAATTCCTGACCAATGGCAAACATACAGAAATGTGATACTGGAATTTGGCAACATTCGTGGTGTTGTCCTGGTAACATAGCTGGATTAGCAAAACCTGGAATAAAATCAAATTACATAGAAATAAGTATTCAGTAACAATTTTCCTTTACAGAAACCTTTTGAATATTTATCATAAACTGGATACAGCAATTCAAAGAAAAATTATTAGACCAAGCAATTAGATTGATTATACACAAAAGGTGCTCTGAGAAACATAAAAACTTGTGCCAATAATGCAAATGCAGATTTCATAATTTGATCTAAGAAGAAACCTAGTTACCTAATACAACTGGATCTAAGTAGATAATGGGAATGTGTGACAACTGTAACCATCAAAAATGAGTTGGTAGTCACGTATCACATACTCTCGATTAAAACAAAACAGAACTATTTTATGTAGATTTTGTTCTGTACTTGAGAAGCATAATCATTGCACACTGAAATAGGTGCATTATTTTATTGATTATTATACGTTTAACTACACTTTATTCATTCATTAAATCTAGCAATGCCATAGGTTTATAAATTATTACATTATGCAAATTTCTGTTTCAAAACAAGTAAATTTTGCCTCTTCAAGATGTAAGACATGTATACAGACAAAAGTCTTTAATCCGGACTCATCGGGACTTCGGCGATTCCGGATTATAGATCATCAGTTTAAATCTGGTAAGATGGCATGCAGAAATTATAAAATTAAAAATATTAAACCGTAATTTATGAAATAAAGATCTATTATGATCTAAAGGGTATCAAAATTTACAAAAAAAAAAAAAAAAAAGCTTAACATTTATTTGTTTACTTTATTAAACACTTCTTTCAACGCGCGCATGCGTAAAGCATACATTACGCATAGTCGAAATTAGAAAATTGCAACCAGAAAACTATTTGATGTGTATTCGTGATATTTATAATGAAGAGGAAATTGATTTAAATTATATGAGAGTACATCGAGATGAAACACTACATTTAGTGAGGAATTATAAGCCAAATAAAATAAAAACATCTGCTCTTAAGATAAGGATAGTGCTGATAAATCAACTTCCAATTCATTGCAGGCAGCCTCGGTGTTAAAGATAAACAAAGTTTAGATAAACAAAGAATATGCCTTTATCCATTTTTTGCAGCAATTCCATTTTTTGTTTAATGGACTCCGAAAGATACTTTCGCTTTGTATATCCTTTACATATTAGTAAATATATATCTGAAATTCTATTTGACATAATCGAAAGTTCAAGCTTACTTTTATAAAATTGCTCTAACAGTCTGCAAAAAATAATAAGCCGGATCCAATTAGAAGATTAAGGAACAACGCAACATTAACTGAAATAGATAATTTTAGCTTATACCGCCCGTTATACATTAAACGCGCATACGTAAACGCATATGCGCATGCGCAGAAAGTTTGTAGCTTTGAGGTCCGGCTTGAAGACTTTTGACTGTATTTGGTAAATGAAGGAAGAAATTACAGCGAGAGAAAAATACTTTTTCGGAAAAAAAGATGATATTTTTTTTTCAGTTGATATCATTACGTGGTAAAATCCTAGTATACGGTACAGCCTTGACGCGATTTTGAAATTTGTCGCCAACACGAAAAAGACCCATTTACTGCTCATCATAAAGTCACTAAAAGTAGCCAAATCCCATGTGTACCGGCCCACCAGCGGCCGAGCGGTAAAGACGCTGAAAACTTGTAGTTCGGTCCGAGGTTCGAATCCCGCGAACGGGCTGCCTGCATGGGCGTTTTCGTGGTTTTCCCCATGTGTAACGTGTATACAAGCCAGTTTTCCTTAGAAAGTCCTCCACGAAGGCATCCCTCCCTTTAGGCAGATAGCTCTCGTGTGTTTTGCCATAATTGAATAATCCAATCCAATCCCATGTCTACCGTACACTGGGATTAAACCCATTACGTAACGGTAGAACGTAGATGACGGTAGAAATAAATTCACAAAATTTTGGGTGCAATAAACAGTAATCCTCTTTCTCCAATCGGAATCCACGTGGAACAAAAACCAAGATTTTACACCAAGTTTGTTTTATAAAAGATATACACAATCACTGTACATTGTAATCAGTATGCTACTTCATTGTTATTATTTTGTGTTTAGCCGAATCTTACTCATTTCTTAATCTAGTGATGCAGCTGAATAAAGAAATATAAATTACAGACTTTTATTTTCTTACCTTCAACCAGGGGCGTAACTAGAGTTTCCAGCGCCCAGGACAACTGAAGAGTTTGCGCGCCTTTCTGTGTGCCAAGAATGGAAAACATTTCATTAAAAAATTTCGTAGCATCAATTTGGCGCCCTTTGGATGCTGTGCCCGGGTACAGATGTCCCCACTTGCCCCACCCTAGCTACGCCACTGCCTTCAATGTTGGAATATGTAAGTTCATCACATTGAAGTACAATATCGTGCATATCCCCAATATGCTCTCTTAAATGTTGATAAGTTAATAAATTTCTGTCGCAAGATGGGCAAATTAAATTACCTCCTACTGATTCAGGACGTACATCATGTACATTACGTAACTGTCGAAATAAATCAGAGAAAGATGAAAAGATCTCACAAAAAGCGCAAGTTCCTTTTTCAGTAATCCATAACATCCACCCAGAATAAAGAAATTCTGCATACAATGGTAGAATACTTTGAATGGCAAAAAATTCACACAAATTCGCCAAGAAGTTTTCACCAATTCCAACGCAACGCGAGAGGGAAGTTGAACTGCGGTGCTTAACCACCAGGGTGCCTGGGCGCCATAGCCCTACCCCTCATCGAATAACATGATAAAAGTTTCGAATTATGATACATAATTAACTATTTTTTAACAACTATTTCACAGAAGAATACATGTACACACAAGAGAAACAAAATACGAAGTGCGACGCCTTAGTGCCACTCCACAGTAAAAAAAAAAAAAAAAAAAAAAAAAAAAAAAAAAAAAAAAAAAAAAAAAAAAAAAAAAAAAAAAAAAAAAAAAAAAAAAAAAAAAAAAAAAAAAAAAAAAAAAAAAAAAAAAAAAAAAAAAAACACAAAAAAAAAAAAAAAAACCAAAAAAAAACAAAAAAAAAAAAAAAAAAAAAAAGAACAATATACATGCAACGCGAGAGGATTTGGGACGCCTCTGATTTTTCGCCATGTTTTCAGAAAGACTTACGCGGTGCAAAACAAGACATCTAGGTACATTTATCAGCGCTAATGAGCATGCGCACTACATTTGGAGCCATTTCTGCTTTGAGATGTCATTGTTTGCTAGATATCCGCAGCGTTCATGGGCTTATGATCTCTGTCGTGTGCATCTGGAAGCATTGAATGCGAAGGTTTTGTTCTATTGAGCAAAATAATTCGCAAACTGTGTACTAATGTGAAATATATTTGGAACTTTTATCTTCCAAATGCTAAGCACTTATCAATTTTAGAAAAATCATATAATGTAGTATATATAATTGCATTAATCTATAATTAAACGTGTTTATATTTACATAGAAAAGAGATCATATTTGTGTCAAGTATCGCAAACTGATTTTTAATAAATTACTTATATCACAATAGATAAGATTTACGCAGCATACTATCATTATTTTCAAAAACATAACCACACATGAATTTAGGCAATATATTGAAAGATAGTAAGAAGGATCCGAAAATACTTGTAATAAAATTTTTGTTAACTATTTTAGTTCCGCTCAGAAGGTGAATATCCTTTGCATGTAGGATGCAAGTTATATCACATGCAGGCTGTCAGCTTGCAGTATACGGATGAAACTTCATGCCTACAAATTATGCCAACAATCATTTGGAAAAAGTTGTATTTTAAAGTCAATATGTTTGAAAAGAAAAAAACCTCTGTGAAGTTATTCATGATTTCTGCAAAACGATACTGAAAGAATAAGAATATAATGCTTATACACCAGATGGGAACATGTATGGGGTGTGTGACAAATCATATGGACAAAAGGGCATTTAATCAAGCACCGGCTTATTCATGTAGCAGATAAACCTCATGTATGTGAAGTATAAATAATTTACATTAAGAGGCCGTATTCATATTAAAAGTCCATTAAAGCAAACATATGCTTATTCATATTAAAAGTCCATTTAAATAAACATATGCTTATTTACACAGAACAGAAACCTCATGCGTGTGAAATATATTTTGAGTCATTTAGGCTAAATGCTGCTTTAAATAAGCATATACTTTTTCACACAGGAGAGAAATATCTACTTAAGCATCACAGGTGTCAAGTATGTAGTAAGTCATTCATACAATGTGGAATTTAAAGACACATATGTTTATTCATACTGAAGAGGAACCTTACGTCTATGAGATATGTAACAAGTCATTCAGACAAAAGTTTAATTTAATCCAACATAGGCTTATTCATACTAGAGATAAACCTCATATGTGAAGAATGTAACAAGTCATTTAAACAAAAGGGTCTTTTAAACAAGCATATGATAATGCCCACAGAAGTCAAACCTCACATATGTGAGGAGAGTAGCAAATCATTTGAACAAAAGTCTGATTTAAATGAGCATATACTTATTCACACAGAAGATAAACCTCATGTATGTGAGATATGTAAGAAGTCATTTCGACAAAAGCATCATTTTACCAACCATATGCTTAATCACACTAGAGAGAAGACCTGGTTATGTTCAGTGTGTAACAAATCATTCAGATTAAAGTATCATTTAAATTGGCATATGCTTATTCACACAGGAGGAAAACCACATCTGTGTGAGATATGTGAGAAATCATTCAGACTTAAATGTGACTTAAACAAGCATATGCTTATTCATACAGGAGAGAAACCTCATGGGTGTGATGTATGTAACAAATCATTTAGAGTTAAGGGTGATTTAAATAAGCATATGCTTATTCACACAGGCGAGAAACCTCATATGTGTGATGTATGTAACAAATCATTTAGAGGTAAGGGTGATTTAAAGAAGCATGTGCGTATTCATACAGGAGAGAAACCTTATGTGTGTGAGGTATGTAACAAGTCATTCAGACGAATGTATAATTTAAATCACCATATGCTTCTTCACACAGGAGAGAAACCTTTTACATGTGAAGTATGCAACAAATCATTTAGAACAAAGCATGTTTTAAATGATCATATCTTAATTCACACTGGAAAGAAACCTCACACGTGTAAGGTATGTAACAAATCATTCAGACAAAAGTATGATTTAAGTGAGCATATGCATATTCACACAGGGGAAAAACCTTATGCGTGTGAAATATGTAACAAATCATTCGGTCGCAGGTGTCATTTATACAACCATATGTTTATTCACAGAGAAGATAAACCTCATGTATGTGATGTATGTAACAAGTCATTTGGATCCAAGTATCATTTTACGAGGCATATGCTCAATCACACAGGCGAAAGGCCCTGTGTGTGTGTTGTATGTAATAAAGCATTCAGAGTAAAGTATGATTTAAAAAAGCATATGCATATTCACACAGGAGAAAAACCTCTTGTGTGTGAGATATGTCATAAATCATTCAGACAAAAGTGGGATTTAAAGAAACATATGCTTACTCATACAGGAGAGAAACCTTATATGTGTGAGATATGTAACAAATCATTCAGCTTAAAGTCTAGCTTAAACAGGCATATGCTTATTCACACAGAAGAGAAATCTCATGTATGTGAGCTATGTAACAAATCATTCAGATTTAAGTATAATTTAAGGAATCATATGCTTATTCACACAGGAGGAAAGCCTTATGTGTGTGAGGTATGTAACAAATCTTTCAGATTTAAGTTTGATTTAAACAAGCATATGCTCATTCATTCAGGTGAGAAACCTCATGTGTGTGAGGTATGTAACAAATCTTTCAGATTTAAGTTTGATTTAAACAAGCATATGCTCATTCATTCAGGTGAGAAACCTCATGTGTGTGAGGTATGTAATAAATCATTTATACAAAAGTCTAGTTTAAGTAAACATGTGCTTATTCACACAGGAGAGAAATCACATATGTGTGAGGTATGTAACAAGTCATTCAGATTTAAGTCTGATTTAAACAGGCATATGCTTATTCATACAGGAGAGAAACCTCATGTGTGTGAGGTATGTAACAAATCATTCAAATTTAAGTGTAGTTTAAATAAGCATGTGCTAATTCACAAATCATTCAGACAGATGCAGATGTTTGATTTAAACGAGACTGTGAATAGTCGCACAGAAGAGAAACCTCATACATGTGAAATATGTAACAAATCATTTAAAGCAAAGCATGTTTTAAATGAGCATATCCTTATTCATGCTGGAGAGAAACTTCACACATGATTTATGTAACATAACATATATAGAGAAAAGTGTCATTTGTTAAAAGTGACATATGATTTGACAAAAGTGGCATATGATTGTTCATACAGAAGAGGTATATTATGAATTATATATATAGCCAATCACTGGAAGAAAAACATTTTAAGAAATATATCTATAGTGAATACGAGTCTTATGCTTTTCAAGAAAACTAGTTTAATAAGAACCTTCACTTATTTGTTGAGTCTTGGGCATGTTGTAAAGAAACCTCATTTTATGAGTTGCATAAGTTGTCATTCTATCTAAATGCTTAATAAATCATTTATTTATCTCTGATGTTTCGGCAATAAATCATGAGTCATTTTAGAAGATTGCTGGCTTATGATAACATTGAATTACCTATGTTATTTAACAAGGGAAGAAAGTTTTAAAAAGGTATGCCTAGACTAATTGAAAAGTTACTAGACTGATATTCAGAGACTGATACTAGACGTGCTGACATTTCTGACTTACTTATTAGAATTGAACCTGTGATATAACCTATCCTTTGAATGTTGAAAATGTCGAGAAAGGAGATATTGAAAGTCAGGTTAGAAAATCAAGTTTATATGCTAAGTGGTGTAGGTTTAAAAGATCAGTTTTTAACTATATTGCTAATTCCACAGTAACGATGTACAGCTTATGGTGGTTTTTTAGCAAAACCGAAGCTCCTGGTTTAAAAAGGTTTTTTTCCATTTTTTCTCTTGTTTACAAATGTTTCAAATATGCTTTTATGTAATAGTCCTTGTTTATTTACGCTTATGCATTTTGTGTTAACCTTTTCACAAGAATGTGTTATGTTGGTCTTCATTTTTATGAAATTCTGAAGCTTTGCTGCTAAGTAATTCATCATTATATGTATTCTGTAACTTGCAAGTGTTTTTGTGGTAAACTTGGCTCTTAGTATAATAACAGAGTTCAGTTACAGGTATGGGATTTTTCATATTTAAATGATATGCCAGTTAATTTCTCATCTTCCATATGCAGAATTTACTTCTATTTCCCAGTTTTTAAGGTCAAGCCTATATAACATGAAATTCAAAGAGATAATACTGACAAAAATTAGTGTAGGCTTACCACATTTAAAACTGAGAAAGAGGGTTGCAAACCCTAACCAATTTTATCAATTCTTGCATGTTGCGCGGCAACCTACCAATTTTCATTCAAAATTTCTTGAATACTAGAACTTTTCAAGTAAGGATTGGCTCTGTTTTGTCAGATATTTTTTAACAGAATGAGGGTGTGCCTCAAGGCTGTGTGCTTAGTGTAACCCTGTTTAGTTTAAAAATAAATTCTGTACTAAAAGAACTTCCTCCCACCATCTTGGGATCTCTATATGTGATGATTTACAGATTAGCTGTCGAGGGCAGACATGAGATACATAGAGAGGCAATTGCAGATGGCTCTGAATAAGATCCAAGAATGGTCAAACAAACAGGGATTTACTTTTTCCAAACAGAAAACTGTGTGCGTGCACTTTTGTAGGAAGCGAGGTCTCCATCCTGAGCCTGAGTTAAATCTGATTAGTAGAATTATTCCAGTTACGCCCGAAGTAAAATTTTTAGGAGTGATGACGTTCAACCGAAAATTGACTTTCTCATGTTTTAAACCTGAGAAAGAAGTGTTTAAAAACACTAAATATTTTAAAAGTATTGGCGAACACCTCCTGGGGTGCAGAGCGTTGCTCCATGCTTTGCATTTACAGAGCGCTTGTCCGCTCTAGACTGGACTATGGCTCAGTTGTTTACGGATCCGCTCGGTTTATCAGTTTGTTAAAACTGGATCCTGTTCACCATCAAGGTCTGCGGATTTGTTCAGGAGCTTTCAGGACTTCTCCTGTCCAGAGCCTGTATGTTGACTGTAACGAACCATCACTTTATCTGAGGCGTGAGCAATTGTCCCTTTTGCAATATTTTAATATTCTATCCCAATCTGAACATCCCAATAAGCTTTGCTTAGTTGGTAATGTGTGCAACACTTTATTTGAAAGACGTCCATCCTGTGTTCCTACTTTTCCTTTAAGAGTTCGACCTGTCATTGAAGAACTTTCCCTCTCTGATATGCTCCCCCAAGCAGTACAGAATTTTGAAATCCCACCTTGGGAAAATGCACGGATTCACCTTCTTGATGTTTTCAAGCATCACGTCAAGGCAAGCATCAACGAGTTCATTTATAGACAACACTTTGCTAAGCACAGGCACAAATACAGCAGTTATTATTCGATACAGATGGATCCAAGTCAAATGATCATGTTGGGATGGCGTTTGTATTTCAAGATCACATTGAGGGCAGACGTTTGCACAATGCTTTCTCTGTCCTTAACATCTGAACTAACTGCAATATATTATGGTCTTTTGTACATCTCAAAGCTCTGCCACAAAAAGTTAATAATTCATACAGACTCGTATAGTGCTCTTAAATCTTTGGAAGCTTTTCCCAACACTCAAAATCCTGTGGTAGTGGATATCCTAAAAATACATATAAACTTGAGGAGTCATGGATATGAAATCCTGTACTGCTGGGTTCCCGGGCATATGAGAATAAAGGGAAACGAGCTTGCAGACATCACGGCAAAATCTGCTGTTGAACTGTCTAGTCGCCTTATCCCTTTTAGAGACATCTGTTGTGTCATCAAGGGGAAGATCCGGAAAAAATGGCAGCAAATTTGGGACATTCAGCTTAACAACAAGTTGAAAAATGTAAAGCCTAGGATTGAGCATTGGGATTTTGCTGGAAATCGTAAGGAGGAAGTTCTTTTGACACGCCTCAGAATTGGTCACACTAGAGTGACACATAACTATCTTCTCAAAGCTGAAAATGAGCCTGTTTGTTTTAATTGTAATGTTTGTTTATCTATTTGTCATATTTTAATTGAGTGTGCATGTTTTAATAGTCTTTGCCAGAAATATTTTAGTAGCTGTGACTTACCTCTCGACCGTTTAATCGGCAGAGAGGTCAATCAATTGCAATTTATTTTATTATTTAAAAGAGACTGGCTTTTATTATCTGGTAATTTGTTTTGAAGACTGTGTCTTGAATATTCTTATATGCTTTTAACTTGTTTTTATATGACTTCATCCTCTGGATTTGGTACTTTTTGTATACTTGTTTTTAATTATTGTATTTTAATTTCATCATTTGTAATCATCCCATCTCGTGTTTGGCGCGCTATAATCATCTTTGGTTTTACGCCATAATCTTTCACTCACTCACTCACTCAATTCTTGCATATATTTTTGCCATAGAGGAATCCCATATACATAAAGTTGACTAAAAGGCATCTGACAAAGCAAATGATTTGAGAAATATATTTTCCATGCTGGTAAGTAACCCACGTATATTCTAAACTCATTGTATGTTTTTAAATCCAAGGGCAGAAGAAATCAAATTAACTCGTGCGAACACACGGCTGTGTCTTCTGTGTACCAAAAAAGAATCAAATTTAACTTGAAAACCCTGCTTTGTTTGCAAGCATTTATGCAATTTAATATTTTGACAAACAAAAGTCAAAAAACATTTTAATTTCAGTGATAAAAAGAATGTGTTAATAGTTCCCATAATAATATAATTTTAGAGAAAAATAGACAGTTACTGTCTTTTCATCATTTTCGCAATTTTAGTTAAAAGGAAACCCTATTTTGAAAATGCAGCCACCTGGTGTTTGTGAAATCACACTCTCATAGAAATAAGTAGCCCTCCTTTTTTATTTGATGAATCTCAGTATCTTTTTTACAAAAAAAATTGTTACATAATTGTTTTTTATAAATTAATTGCAGTCTTAAATACCAAATAAGTAAAAATATTGAATTTATAAAGATAACTGATTATGAGAATTGCAAAATGTTTTAACCACTTAAGTGGCATGACCGGCTTTATCCCATCATGAGATTTTTGTATCACCTGGTATATACAGTCAAAAGTCGTTAATTCGGACACCCATAATCCGGACCTCAAAGCTACAAACTTTCTGCGCATGCGCACAGGCGTTTACGAGAGCGCGTAAGACCCTTACGGCTGCAAATATGTTTGTGCGCATGCGCGTTTAATGTGTAACGGAGTTACACGCTAAGCTAAAATTATCTAATTCAGTTAATGTTGCTGATTGCGTTGTTCCTTAATCTTCGAATTGGATCCGGCTTATTATTTTTGCAGACTGTTAGAGCAATTTTATAAAAGTAAGCTTGAACTTTCGATTATGTCAAATAGAATTTCCGATATATATTTACTACAAAGCGAAAGTATGTTTCGAAATCCGAAATCTGTTTATCAATTTCACGCTGCTCTGCGGCAGAGGGGGGGGCAGAAACGTCATTATTAGATTATGATAGATTAGAAAGATTATGTCAAATAGAATTTCCGATATATATTTACTAATATGTAATTTGTATCTACAAAGCGAAAGTATGTTTTGAAATCCGAAATCTGTTTATCAATTTCACGCCGCGGAAGTTGATCTGTCAGCACTATCCTTATCTTCAGGGCAGATGTTTTTATTTTATTTGTTTTATAATTCCGTACTAAGTGTAGTATTTCATCTCGATATACTCCGTCTTTGATATGATTTAAATCAAGTTCCTCGTCATTATAATTCGCTTCCAATAGTGAAGAAAGTGACCCAGAGGTTATTGAAAACGAAAACATTTCGATTGACAAATTAGTCGGTATTCTCAACACAGCAATTATAGGGACTTGAACAGCGGAACTTTGTAACTAAACAAGAAATTATGTCTGTTTAATAGAATTAAAGAGAAAGTATTATCACATGAAACGAAGCAACTTACATTGAAGGAAATGTTAATAAAGTAAACAATAAATATTAAGCTTTTTTTTTGTAAATTTTGATACCCTTTAGATCATAATTGTTCTTTATTTCATAAATTTACGGTTTCATATTTTTAATTTTGTAATTTCTGCATGCCATCTTACGAGATTTAAACTGATGATCTATAATCCGGAAAAATCGATAATTCGGAATCGCCGAAGTCCCGACGAGTCCGGATTAACGACTTTTGACTGTATTAGATTATAATTTTAAATATTTTGCTTTCTTACTTTCTTTAATGATGTAAATATCCTGAATGGAAGCAGAGCTGTGACTACATATTTTTTCACCTAAGGCAAAGAGTTATATGTATGCCTCTATATATGTCTGGCCAGTTTGAAAAAAAAAGTGTGTTAATTTGTTTTAAAATTTAGAATTGTGTATTGTTCTGTAATTCAGTTTCTAATAACAAAGAAAAGACAAACAAAATAAATAAACATTTAGATCATGTGTATAATGTATATGATTCATCTCCTTTTTTTTTTTTTTTTTTTTTTTTTTTATTCTGCATTTATGAAATGAGAAAAATAATTTTGCATTTGTTGAGAATCTATAGAAGATGGTTTTTGTGAAGTTTAATTATTGATAGCAGTGACATCAGAAAAAATATATGAGTATTTAGAATGAAATATTGACTGATAGGAGATCAAAAGTTAGTTAGACAGCAGCAAGATTAGATCTGTCTGAAACTATTTTATACATTCTGCATGAATTCTTCACATGAGTATGAAACTTCACTTCTAGATACCCTGACATCTTTCAGAAATTCACAACTAGCTGTGTATTATTGCTGTTCAGAAGCAATGTGGGTTAAAGGAGCTTAACCTCTCCTTGTATCTTTAACTGATTATTTATTAGCTTTTCTTTAAACTAAAATATTACTTTTGTGGAAAAAGATTTGATAATGATGATGGTGGGAGGAAGAACAGTTGTGGACGTTTTTTAGGACAAACCTACAGATTTCGTTTTCAGATACAAAGACCTGCTTATTAAACGATATGAAAACTGTATTGAAGTACAGGAAGATCATATTGAAAATTAAACTGCTAAGTTTTTACATTTCTTTTAACAATTAAGACACAATAACACGCCGAATAAATACTAATTCAGAAGTCAAACAACAAAAATCAGCGTTATACCTACAAAATTTTCACAGGACTAGTTTCGATGGTTTTACCGAACCATCATGCCTTCAGCTGCTGCAAAACCGCAAATGAACAAGATAGGAATATAATGATTAGATAAGATAAGATAAAAAAGCCTGGACAAGAATAAGCAAGTGGCGCCATCTGTTGGCGAAACCAGAACTAAAACATAATTTCTCTAAAAGCTGAAGGCAAATTTGGATTGGAATTAGGATTGTTAACTAGAACAGAAAGATTTTTATGAATGTGAAATGCCTCTAGAAAATCCAGTTCTCCAATGGAAGAT